AAAACCAGTAAAATTCCATACAAACCGATACAAACTGCTTCTTCCTTATTGCCAGTCATTGTTCGCTATCTCATGGTTCAGAGTTTTCTCCTGAGACAACAGGAAGTGACAGAAATCTCCCCCTCAGCAGGGAAATTCACTCCTAGAAAAGTTATTATTATGGGGGAAAGAGGCTCAAATGAAGCTTTCTCACCAACCCTTGTTTCCACAACAAGCCAAAATGTCCAAAATCCAATGATCACAGGGACAGAAAGTGAAATGAAATCTTGACAAAGACATCAAAATAAGCATCACAGCTTAACCATTCCCTATGCTCTCCAAAGTATGTATGTATGTATGTATGTATGTATGGATAGATAGATAGATAGATAGATAGATAGATAGATAGATAGATAGATAGATAGGCTGGAGTTACAGTTAAAAATGTACATGTTCTGACTTGCATACAAATTCAGTTTAAGAACAGGCCTACAGAGCCTAACTCAGGGACTGCCTGTATATATTTAAAACATAGGAAGTCATGATATCATAGCCTTCTCCTCTGTGGCTCCCCAACTCTGGAACTCATTACCTGGAGATCAGGAAAGCCCCTACACTAGAAACTTTTAAAAATAACCTTAAAACCTGGCTCTTCTGCTGCGCCTTTGGCAAGTAGGCGTACAACATGAAACTGCTGCTTCCCTCAATGCTTCTGTCACTGGAGTACACGCCCCCCTAATGGGAAGTTTGGTTTCACAACCCTTTCTTTCTTTATGAGTTCCCTGCAAATAACGTGCTCCTCTTCTTATCTCATTCGAGTTTTTAAACATTTTATTCTGCACATGTGGCCCGCTGACTGTCACTATGATTGTGTTTATTGTAATGTTATTTTGTTACTGTATTCATATGTTTTTTTAATGTAATTTTGATGCTGTTGCTTGTTGCTTATGTTTTGATTTTATTTTGCTGTAATATGTTGTCCAGGCTTGGCCTCATGTAAGCCGCCTTGAGTCCCCGTTGGGGAGATGGTGGCGGGGTATAAATAAAGATTATTATTATTATTATTATTATTATTATTATTATTATTATTATTATTATTATTATATCATGGCCGGAATCACTGGGTCACTGTGAGTTTTCTGGGCAGCATGGCCATGTTCCAGAAGCATCCTCTCCTGATGTTTTGCCCACATCTATGGCAGGCATCCTCAGAGATTGTGAGGTGTGTTGGAAATGAGGCAAGTGAGGTTTATATATCTGTGGAATGCCCAGGCAGGAAGCAGCCAGACTTTGAAGCTGCAAGGCCATTCAATGCCAATCAGGGTGGCCAACTACAATATTCACTCTTGCCTCTAACAGACAAGAGTTCTTTCTCCCACCCTGGACATCATTCCAAAGATATATATATATATATATATATATATATATTTATTTATTTATTTATTTATTTCTTGCACTTATAGACCGCCACTCTCAGCCCAGGGGCGACTCGTGGCGGTGTACAACAACATAGAAAAGACAGCTTACAATAAATCAACAATACACAACGTTCTACTACTACAAACACTACTATACTAAAAATCCGCTTCGTCAAATCATAGGGTCAATCCATCTCATAATCACAGTCCATTCCGGTCGTCAATTCCAGTAACCTAGCACTCAATTGAAGGCCATCTCGAAGAGCCATGTTTTCAGGCCCCTACGAAAGGCCATAAGGGAAGGCGCCTGTCTAACTTCAGCAGGGAGGGTGTTCCAAAGCCGGGGGGCCACCACCGAGAAGGCCCGCTCTCTCGTCCCCGCCAAACGTGCCTGTGAGGCAGGCGGGACTGAGAGAAGGGCCTCCCCAGATGATCTCAAGGTCCTCGTGGGCTCGTAGGCCGAGATGCGGTCCGCAAGGTATTTTGGGCCGGAACCGTTTAGGGCTTTGTAGGATAGTACCAGCACCTTAAATATAAACCCCACTTGCCTAGTTTCCAGCAGACCTCACAACCTCTGAGGATGCCTGCAAATGTGGACAAAACGTTAGGAGAGAATGCTTCTGGAACATGGCCATACAGCCCGGAAAATTCACAGCAACCCATAATATCATCACCTCCACTTGGTGGCATTTCCTCAGAAGGGTGGCTTCCAGTTCATATCTGACTCCTGCATTTGGCTTGGAAAATAGAAGTACATTCTACATGCAGTCATGTGGGGGAATATCGCCTCACAGTGGGGCAGGAAGCAAATAGCAAGGACAGACTATGAACTTTAATTTGTACGGCTGGGAATAGCATGTGAAAGATGTTTGGAAATCTGAATGTGAAATACAGTTTGACCTGCGTCTAAAACTTGGAATGGGTATATGAAACCATGGGTAATAGCAAACCCTATAGAAATGAGGTATTTCTTCTCTGTGTGCCCCCTTGTTTTGTGATTCTGCAGATAGCCAGTTGTCCTTGGCTGGTCCGATAACAGTGCATTATCGCAGAAATATGTGCCTGTGTGTGTGTTTGCATTCTCTGGCGACATCACCATGAAACTCAAGTAAGGCACTGTCTCAGCCTGACCTGCCTTACAGGGTTACGAACACTATAAGTGGAAAAGAAGAGAGTCATGTAGAGTTCGTTGGAGGCAAGAAAGGAAAATAGCAATGTGGTTAAAAATAAATGTGCATACCTCCTGGATTTATTTGTTTCCATTTTGTTACTTGTAAAACAAGTATATATGTGGGTGTGGGCTGTGGTCAAACATTAAGTCGACCTTGACATCTGGCAAATGGACTGTGTTTAGCTCAGCTGGTCATTCCTGCCTTTCCTGGGTGACTTCAGTAACTCTGCTTTGAGACTTTCTCAGAGGAAAAATAATTATATGAACCACTCACACAAGAGCTAGAATGACTGGGAAAAGGCAATAGCTTACAAAAAGGCCTGCACTGTGTCTGCCCCCTCTCCCTAACCCCCAAATAATTTTACAGCCCGGGAGTGCACAGGTTTTGTTTGTTTATTTTTCAAGACAAGAATGGATGCATGAGCTAACCAGAACACAGGACAACAGATGCTTGGCTCCAGGCAATGCTGAACTTTGCGATACAGACAGCGGTGTCAGATTGTGTTAAATCTACCGAAGCCATCATCCCCACTGTAATTTCTTTAAAAAAAAACAAACCAATGATTGGCCATGTATGTACTGATTGAAAAATACTGTTGTAGTTTTTATGTTAGATCTTATTTCAGGCATAAGGAGAGAGTCTGGTTATCATTTCACAAAAATGTAATGCATTGTTTCTCAACCTGGGGACCCTGAAGGGGTCATGAGGGGGTTGCAGAGGGGTCATAGAATCATAGAATCAAAGAGTTGGAAGAGACCTCATGGGCCATCCAGTCCAACCCCCTGCCAAGAAGCAGGAATATTGCATTCAAATCACCCCTGACAGATGGCCATCCAGCCTCTGTTTAAAAGCTTCCAAAGAAGGAGCCTCCACCACACTCCGGAGCAGAGAGTTCCACTGCTGAACGGCTCTCACAGTCAGGAAGTTTTTCCTCATGTTCAGATGGAATCTCCTCTCTTGTAGTTTGAAGCCATTGTTCTGTGTCCTAGTCTCCAAGGAAGCAGAAAACAAGCTTGTTCCCTCCTCCCTGTGGCTTCCTCTCACATATTTATACATGGCTATCATATCTCCTCTCAGCCTTCTCTTCTTCAGGCTAAACATGCCCAGCTCTTTAAGCCGCTCCTCATAGGGCTTGTTCTCCAGACCTTTGATCATTTTAGTCGCCCTCCTCTGGACACATTCCAGCTTGTCAATATCTCTCTTCAATTGTGGTGCCCAGAATTAGACACAATATTCCAGGTGTGGTCTAACCAAAGCGAAATAGAAGGGTAGGATTACTTCCCTAGATCGAGACACTATGCTCTTATTGATGTAGGCCAAAATCCCATTGGCTTTTTTTTGCCGCCACATCACATTGTTGGCTCATGTATTTCTGAGCTAACATATATTTCTGATGGTCTTAGGAACCCCTTTGGCAGAGAAGGCTGAAGATCTCTCCGCCTGTCCTTCCTTATCTTCTTTTTTGGAAACAGATGGCGAATCCTCCCACCAAAAGCCCCCTCCAAAGACCATCAGAAAACACAGTATTTTCTTTTGGTCATGGAGGTTCTGTGTGGGAAGTTTGACCCAATTCTGTTGTTGGTGGGGTTCAGAATGCTCTTTGATTGTAGGTGAACTATAAATCTCAGCAACTACAACTCTCAAACGTCAAGGTCTGTTTTCCCCAAACTCCACCAGTGTTCATATTTGGGCGTATTGACTAGTCATGCCAAGTTTGGTCCAGATCCATCATTGTCCACAGTGCTCTCTGGAAATAGGTGGACTACAACTCCAAAACTCAAGGTCAATGCCCACCAAACCCTTCCAGTATTTTCTGTTGGTCATGTGAGTTTTGTGTGCCAAGTTTGGTTCAATTGCATCATTGGTGGGGGTCCGAATGCTCTTTGATTGTAGGTGAACTAGAAATCCCAGCAACTCCAACTCCCAAATAACAAAATCAACCCCCCCCCCAACCCCACCAGTATTCAAATTTGGGCATATCAGATATTTGTGCCGAATTTGGTCCAGTGAATGAAAATACATCCTGCATATCAGATATTTCCATTGCAATTCATAACAGTAGTGAAATTAGAGTTATGAAGTAGCAGTGAAAATAACTTTATGGCTGGTGGTCACAGCATCATGAAGAACAGCATTAAGGGGTAGCGGCATTAGGAAGGTTGAGAACCACTGCTCTAAATGCTTGTAACTCAAGCATATGAAAGAGAGCCTTTTCTTGTACCTGGTCTTCTTTTGGTGCTCTACCCCCAATAATGCAATGGGTGGCTATCAGCTTTGTAGTAGTGATTCCCTATCTTGTAGTACCCAGAGATTGGAAGAATTACTTTTACGGACTACAGCTCCCAGAATCTCTTAGCATGGCCAGTTAGTTACTGAAGCAATTCAGTAGGATGTCACCAGATATTTTACTGCTTTTTGTTTTTTGCTCTAGGAAAATGTATTGAAGGATGCCGTACATGACAAGAATCGCTTGAACCTCCAGGATGCAAATATCTACCACAAGGCACTGCACAATGACGAGGTAATATGTAAGTTCACAGATATGAAGCCAATTCTTGTGTTTGCAACAAACGTCTGGTTTTCTTCCTAGGGGAGGCCCTTTGTGTGCCTAGCAAACATGTCCAATGTTTATGTAGTGAGAGGTGGCTCATGCAATTTGCTTACCTCATCAAAATAGTTGGGAAGCTTAAGTAATTTACTACATATTTGCAGTGTTCATACTGATAGACAAAGTAACAGTTGAAAACCATACAACTTTTGCATTTAATGTGCAAATGAGAAAAACTTCAGACAGTCCAGTTTCTGAGTGAAAATGAGTTGGAAATTAAAGCTGATGCTCAACAAAAAGATCTGTGAGCTCTAAATGAATCTTGTGTACTTCCCAGACACCAACAGGGACTCTGAATGGGTACAAAACCCATTTGTCAGCTGCAGTAAATCTCACATGTTGTCCGTGCCAGAGTTTGAAGATCTAATTGAAATTCAGTGTGCCTCTACTATAAAAACAAAATTTGAATCTGTGCCACTAAACGACTTTTGGGTAGACATATTGCCATCAATAGCTGGAAAGGCTATCGAATCTCCCCTTCATGTCCACCTATCAATGTGAATCAGGCTTTTCAGTTTATGCTTACACCACAAACAAATATAGGAATAAATTGGATTCATGCATTCCGCTTCTGGTTTCAGGAATGCTGGCTCACTACCTGTTATCCACTTCTCAAAGTACTTCTATTGTTAACAGACAGTAAGAATTTCTAGAACATGACATTCTTTTTGTCAAGACTGGGAATTTCATATAGGATTGCCCCTATAAAGACTTACATGCCAATTTCTCCTGAGTTGTGTGTGTATGGGTGGTGGGATGTGTTCTGAAGGGTCTCATGGCCTTCCTGGCAAATGTCGGTAGAAAGCCACAGAATTTGCTTGTACCATTATGGGATAGAGACATATGAAGTGGACATCCAGTCCAGGCATAGACACCGAGAACTGGGAAACTGACCCTTGAGCACTCTAACTGGAGGTCAGCTGTGACCAGCAGTGACGCAGAATTTGAAGAGGCACAAATTGAGAGTGAAAGGGAGAAACGTGCCAAGAGGAAGGTGCATCAAGCCAACCCTGACTGGGACCACCTTCCGCTGCAGGAGAACATGCGGATCAAGAATAGGGCTCCACAGCCACCTACAGACCCACCTCCAAGACACCAGACTTGGAGGACCATCATCCTTAGGCTATGAGGGATCACCTAAGTAAGTAAGAAGATGGCAAGTGTAGATGATGCAGAAGATGGCAAGTGTAGAGCCAGACCCAGTCCAGATTTTAAGAGGGGTCCAGGTTCTCCCTTACTATCTATAAATTGTTTCTATTCCTGCTTGGAAAAAGTCCAGTCACTCACTCAGAAGTGACTGTGTAGCTGTAAACCATGAAGCAGGCATTGAAAACTGGAGGACACAGCTAGAAACATGAATGGGTAGAAATTGAAGCTGGTCAAAAAGGACTGCTGAGTTGAGGTGTGGAAAGAGTAGACAAACTCTGCTAACAGCAACAGCTCACCACAGTTGTCTTGTTAGTAGTTGGGATAGTAGCGTATACACTGTACCAGCATGAAGGCATTGGTGTGCTCTGTCTGACTTCTCTAGCACTTCTTGCCCAGACGAAATTAATCCAAATAGTCTCCATTATATTGATGTGCGGTGGTTGTAGAATGAAAATTGATGGTACGATGTACATTACTACCTGAACGAGTGCCAGTCAAACCTGATTCATTATTATCATCCCACATACCGTATGTTGTTTAATCAAAATATATATCCATATCTAATAAGCTATGAAAAATATAACCAAATTAATTCAAGTTTAATGCCAACATACCAAAAGGCGGCAGAGCCAGGTCCATCCAGTTAAGACGAGCAATCAGTGGGCTGTCTCCCAATTTGAACACTCTCAGGACTGAATACTCCCACCATGCTGACTAGCGCAAGCTACACAACACAAGGAGGATGCTACCACGTCTCCCAACATACCCTGAGCTAACTTGTATGGTCACACATCTCGTAGGTGGAACCTCCGGGGTATGTCACCTTATCTGTTATTCATTAGTTATCTAAATACTTCATCACATTAGACAGGGAAGTGTGTGGCAGAGGAGAGCAGAGAAGAGCTCAGTCTTACTCAGTTTTTTTAATGAAACGGATGTTTTCCCTACCTTCTGTCATTCTGTTAAATGTCTCTCAGTTTCACACTGCAGAGGTTTGGCTCTGTCCACCCTCCCTCTCCCTGCTCATTATTGAAAACCGGGAGGGTGGGAGAGAGGAAGGGAAAGCAATGCCCTCCCTCCCTCCCTCCCTCTCTCCCTCCCTCTCTCTCTTGGCTACCCCACAGAGAAGGGGGTGGACCTTGGAAAACTATAACTTCCAGGACTGCATAGTATGGAGCTATGGAATTTAAAGTGGGGTCCAAGAGCATTCATTCAATTGTGTAAATGCAGAGAAGGGTATGGGCCTTGGGAAACTATAACTCCCAGGAGGGCTCCATCGCATGGGGCAATGGCATTTAAAGTGGGTTGCAAGGGTACTCATTCCATACTGTAAATGCACCAAGAGAAGGGTATGGACCTTGGGAAACTATGACTCCCAGGACTGCACAGCATAGAGATATGGAATAATAATAATAATAATAATAATAATAATAATAATAATAAGATCTCAGCTGGCATTTGGAAACAATAAACATTGACAAAATCACGATCTGTCAACTGCAAAAGGCCACCTTACTTGGATCTGCGCGCATCATTCAAAAATACATCACACAGCCCTAGAAGCTTGGGAAGTGTTTGACTTGTGATTTTGTGATACGAAATCCAGCATATACATCTCATTTGCTGTGACATACTGTGCTTTTGTGTCAGTAAAATAATAGTAATAATAATAATAATAATAATAATAATAATAATAATAATGTCATTTAAAATGCGTCCTGACTGCATTTATTCTTCAGTGCAGATGCAACCAGAGAAGGGTATGGACCTTGGGAAACTAGAACTCCCAGGACCGCATAGTATAGAGCTATGGTGTTTAAAGTGGAGTCCAAGGTCATTCATTCCATAGTGTAACTGCACCAAGAGAAGGGTATGGACCTTGGGAAACTAGAACTCCCAGGACTGCACAGCATGGAGACATAGCATAATAATAATGATAATCCTTCTCTCCTGGTTTTCCCATGCAATACAAGGCACAGACATATCACGGAAGGAAGGGAAGGGAAGAAAAGGACCTGGAAAGGCTATTTTTTTAAAAAAAGAATTGTTCTGGCAAAGTAAAAACTCGGTGAACAAAAGGTAATGCTTTCCCTAACAAGGGTATTTTTGTCTCCTTTCACAATTTCACCAACTGGGGAAATGTTTCAATGTAAACCTCGGAGCAACTAATGCCACCACATTACAGAAATGGCCAAACATCCAGATGATTTTTTTAAAAAATCCACTTTTCCACCACCTCATGAAATTTTTTAAAAGAATGCTGACCCTCATGTGTAAAATACTCAAAGAATACTCTATCCTACACTTGAAGCCAAACTAATGTGACGACAAGAGTGGCTTCCCGGATTTTAAGTGTAGCACTCAGTGGAATTTAGTAAATGTGATGAAGTGATAACACAGGTATTCAAATACCCCAAAGGCAGGTTGAGCTCTGGTTAGTATTTGGATGGGAGACCACAATGAACCTTGGTTCTGTAGGCTATATTTCAGAGGAAAGCAATGGCAAACTATTTCTGAGTATTATTTCTCTTTCTCCCATCAAATGCAGCCCTCTTTCTTAGGGCCCTTCCACACAGTCCTATATCCCAGAATATCAAGGCAGAAAATCCCACAACATCTGCTCTGAACTGGGTTATCTGAGTCTACACTCAGATAATGTGGGATTTCCTGCCTTGATATTCTGGGATATCGGGCTATGTAAAAGGGCCCCTAGAGAAAAAAAAAACGAGAAAGAAAGGAGGAGCTCTAGATCAGTGCTTTTCAATCTGCGCAGCACTTTCTGTCATTTATTTGTGAATTGTTGATGCCTGTGGACTTCACTGCACACAAACATGCCACAGCGCAGCAGTTGCAAACCACTGGACAAATGTTTTGCTGGTTGCTCTCTGCCATCTTCCAATGTTTCTTATGCCTCAGAGTCAAGTATTTGGGAATCTATATGTGTTGTGTCTTCCTCTTTTGCCTCTGAGGAGGAATGAGAAGAGGAGAAAGCTGAATAGGAAGGGGCTGGAGATTCTGGACAGATGGTCAGGCCTTCTTAGGAGGAAGAAGAAGATGAAGGAGGCACGCTGGTTGTTCCTACTTTTCAAGAACGCCAAAGGGAGCAAGAAGCAAGGTGTAGATCTGCCTGGATTGCTGAAAAGACTTGCAGCAATCAGACCACTCCCTGGAGACACATGTGCTGTGGGCTGAGGACTATATATCAGGAGCAGGGGAAACAGCCATCGCTGGCAGCAAATGATCCAATTACCTAGTCTTTGCTCCTGTATCTGTTCCAGCAAGAAGCCTTGGCTTTGTAAGTCACTTCCGACTCTTTGTGACCTCATGGACCAGCCCATGCCAGAGCTCCCTGTCGGCCTTCGCCACCCCCAGCGCCTTCAAGGTCAAGCCAGTCACTTCAAGCATACCATCCATCCATCTTGCCCTTGGTCGGCCTCACTTCCTTTTTCCTTCCATTTTCCCTAGCATCATTATCTTCTCCAAGCTTTCCTGCCTTCTCATGATGTGGCCAAAGTACTTCATCTTTGCCTCTAATATCCTTCCCTCCAGTGAGCAGTTGGGCATTATTTCCTGGAGTGTGTACTGGTTGGACCTTCTCGCGGTCCAGGGCACTCTCAGAATTTTCCTCCAGCACCACAGTTCAAAAGCGTATATCTTCCTTCACTCAGCCTTCCTTATGGTCCAGCTCTCACACCCATAGGTTACCACCGGGAATACAATTGCTTTAACTTTGTGGATCTTAGTTGCCAGTGTGATTTCTCTACTCTTGAC